ATATATTCTTATTCCTCTTGTAAGTATTAAATAACAAATTTTCAAGTAAATGTGTACCATTAAAATATTTATACGAGAACAATAACTTAATAGCTTCGAATGAATTTATACATAACATTGCATTTTGCATATTTTAGCGTTATGTTAAAATTAAAAAATTCCGCTGATAAATCCTAGTTTTCTGATCCAATAATAAATTATTATGGCATAAATTATGATAGAGAACCACATGATTGTCGAGGACCAGAACGTCGTTCGTGCCTTGTTTGGTTCTTGATCCTGCCAATCCTGCTCCATCGATTCTTTTACTTCTACGAATAAAAAAAAATAACTTGTAAAGATCTTAGTGGCAGTTGAAAAGTACATGATTTACGACTATGTATGATTCTTCTAAAAGCAACAGGATTAAGATATACGATTTTTCTACTAAGACCTGATTCCATTAATGTAAGATTAACTTTAATCCTGGTTCAATCTACTGTTTATCTTCTTGTAATCTAGGAATTAGAAAGATAAACGGTAAGTAAACTGAGATCAAATTTAATTTTACATTGGTGGAACTGGGACTAGGATGATTGTAATGTGAGTGTGTCAGTAACAGTTATTGTGCCACTATTCATTGACGTAACATAAATATGATAGAATGCTGTAAGGTCGATATTTATAGTCGGTTCTTATTTCAAAATAGTCTTAAGTAATGTCTTATGCTGAAATGCTGATTAGTTTGACATCTTAATTCGAAAATAATCACCTGGGATATTTTTACATTTCAGCGGCAGAAAATTCAAAAATGTTGTAAAATTGTCTTGTATAATGGATATTATTTGACATATTTTCTTTCATTTTTAATAATTATTCTTTACAAAAATGTGCTGTATTAATTAAAATCTTTATCTTTTTAAAATACTGTTACAATAAATTTTTATTTTATTTGTTTAATATTTGGTTTCTACTTACTTTTTTTTTTGTTAGAAAATTACGATTAAATCGATATTTATAATATGTTCTCGAATATATTAATAAATCGGAAAACGATAATATGTAATAAATTATTAATAATAATGATTTTAATTGGAGTATAAAAATATCCCAGGCGATTGTTTACGTAAAACAAAAATTAGGTGACTACTTCTGAGTTGAGATCGCACTCAAGACGATCTTAAATAAAAGAACCTATTACGAATCGTGGAAACTGATAACTAAAATATAACTGTTAGAAGTCGAAGAAAATACACGAAAGGTATACAAATGATATACTTATGTACATAAAGCCACATTTGTCGATGACGTAAACATTGCGAATGTAAGCTCGACTGTACACGAGACTTTGTTTATATCATGTTGTTAAATTTGCAAGCAATGAATCCGAACGGTATTAAATCACAGTGCGACTCAAGCGGTAAAGCGATCGAGGAAAAGAACAAACCTGTATTCATCGTTTTTGTTTTCTTATCGGAGCTCACATTGTTGTTCGCTATCTTTCCGATTTTGTAACTCTCACGCAAAACAATCGCCTCATTACTGTGGCCGATGGCCTCGAAACATTCTGTCGCATCTTGCCCCGCTAATTTCAGCAACACTTCCTCGCCGCCAGGATGTTCCTGGTGGAACTTGGTGACATTGTAGACTTCACCGTGTATCACGATCCATAGATCCTTGGCGTTATTGTGGCTGGCGATTTCGTCGCTCGTGTAGACTTCCATTGTAGTGATACACTGAAGAGGAGAACAATGTTGTGAACTTTTCTGTGAAGAGGTGCGAGGATCAAATCTGCGAGGTGTCACGTACGAGCGATGACTCGTGATTACTTATTGACTACGTTTCTCCGCCGCTGTACGACTTACAGCGACTAGATCGCTTTGTGGAAAATCCCCGATGATTTGTCTTCGTGTCACCTTCGGACGACGCACGTATGTACCGGTCTATTTTGACTCGATCTCGGTCGCGGATCGGTCGCGCAGAGACACTTCGACGCTTTGAAAGGGAAAACAGCTGATATAAACGAAGCAACACGACCGCGATGACGACAACGACGTACTTTGTCGCCGTTTTGTCGCATTCCCGATATCTCGCGTATTCAGAGAAATGCTCCGACCGCTGCCTTTCTTTCGTTTCCGTCGCGGAATGTCGACCACGAAAGCTAGTCTCTCTCCTACCTGTCGCGCACTTCACGTCGCGCGACACCGTTTCTCGTACGGTGAATTTTCGCGCGCTTTCTCCTTATTTTTCTCAGCGCCTCCGACAAACGCCGTGCGCGCGCGCGCGCCGGTAATATCGCGAGCGGTGATATCTTATTTATTTTATGGCCCTCTTATATCTTCATCCAATTTCGACCGACGTGGAATCTACAGCGTATTTCGGCGTTATTAATACTTAATAGATTGTTGCTTATTTGAATTCGCGTACGTGAATGCAGCGTCGAGAAATTTCTCGCGCGCGATGTGAATTTTTCGATTATTATCGATTGGCGATCACATTCATCAGAGTCAGCCCGGTATGTAGAGAATATAAATTTTAATTTATCGATCGAAATGTATATCGGCATGGATAGAAGGAATTTTGGACGTAGTAATCCGGGGAGGGCTTTGAAGGTCTATTGTAGTTTAACGTTTTGTAAAATACGAACATTGTTTCGTTTATCCCGACGAGTTTGTGACATTTACACACGTCATGGGATTTATGTGGCAGTTTACGTCGTAGCTTCTCATCTGATTCGAAAGTAGGTATGTTGAGAGGCAATTTGTTTGTTGCGACTATATGTTTTAACGAGGAATACATGTTTCTTTCCGTCACTTGGAAGTTATTGCAATTGCTAAATCAGTGATGAATTGAAGTAAGTAAAGTGAATAGCTGTCTTTCTTCACGAACGATGTGTCATGAATGCGTATGAATTTCATGTCTCCATGAACTACGAACTCATGAAAATGCAAAGTGCTTCAAGCGCTCACCTAGCGATGATTTGCAGGAAAGAGTCACGCAGCGTGGATGGAAATAATCCGAAAACATTGTTTATTAAATTTATGCTTGTACAATTTTATTATTTATTTATGAAAATGTAATTCTTTTGAGTTATAAAGAGAATTTTCTATAATACTTTGTCGCGTTTTTTCAGCAAGTTTTTAGGAATATTCTTTCGAAAAAGTAGGTTAATATTTTTGTTTAATTCCTTTTCTTTATTTGATATTGTTTCAAGTTGGAGAGATTTGCTATTTTTTAAATAAAAGATACGAGCAACAGATCTATTTGACTTCTACATCGTACACATCTGCGACGATTCCGGATCTCCGAGCGGATCTCTCAGTGAGTTGAAATTAAAAGATGTCGGAAACTAGAATTATTCATTTCGCTCACTAAATAAATAAATAGCACACTTGTTCATAAAAAAAAATTTGATTTTCATTCTTTATTCTCTTGAGCTCTGAAAAAAATAGAAAAAATTATGTCATCAAGATAATTCTAGTTCCGATAACAGTGCAACTGTTCTAATTAAAATAATGTTTTGTTTTTTAATTTTAATTGAAAGATCCGGAATCACATGATCGCATAGATGAATCGTCCACACGATGCGTAGAAATCAAACTGATTTGTTAATCATTCATACTTTTTATATAAAAAAAAAAAAAACAAATCTATCTTAAAACAATAAATAATAAATAAAGAATAAAAGTAATTTTTAAAAATATTTGTTCAATTCAAAAAAAAAAAAATCTTAAAAATTACATAAACAGCCTGAAAAACTGTTTTAAACCGTCCGCGATCGTCTTTTTCGCTGTTTTAGAAATTGAATTATTTTATTATTTTATTATAGGCATTATTTTTAACTCACCTTTGGATACACAGGCACTTCACTGAGATAATCGATTGACAACTGAAAATTGAAGCTCGAGAAACGAGATAAAAGTCAAAGTTAAGAAATACAGAACGTCTTTTCGCGTCCGACTATCACCGTCAGCATAACTGGAATGAAATACGTTGTTCGAAACTCTTTTATCATTAAAGATGCTCTATTGAAGGCAAATATCGTGCGATAACGTCTTCGATTTATTTAACATTTATACAATCGATATCAATATTCTTTGGCCTTTACGTAAAATCATCCGGAACTAGCTGTGTGGGATGGAACTTGTTCGTCGCGTCGAATTGAATAGTACGATTTACGTTTAGATTAGTGCATGACGCCGCCAGTAACACCGTTGAAGTTTGTAAACTTGTGCTACGGATGCCGTTGCAACGGAGAACTATTAAGCAAACACGAATTTGGTGGCGCAGTGCGGTTCATTCTCACGAAATCGCTCTCGTATGGTTATCCTCCCAGTGCAAGGACTTTGAAGTCCTCTGGATGTTTGCGCCGAATTACCATAAGCACGTTACAGCCACTTTAATCTTCTAATACCAATGTCTTTACGTTTAATAACGCCTCCCTCGGAGATAACGTAGTCGCGAATGGTATATAATATATAAAACTTGTTGTAGTTTTCAGAGAGATTTATCAGTAGCACGTAGATATATAATATTCTTTCGAGAAGAAATTCTTACGCGATTCTTGCGCGTAACACACAAGTTCGCATCATTATGTCAAGTTACGACCTTGAGAAACTTGGGGGACAATTAATTATCCTCCCTCTCGACTCTTGAATATTCAAGAAAATGTTCACCCGAATCGGGGGAGGACAGAAATCTCCGCGTTCGCGGAGTAAGTTTCGGAAGTTCGGAAACTTTCTAGAAAATTGAAAATCCGTTTAGCTGCGTTGTCGGTAGAAGCGATCGAGGGCGCGTGGGAGGCAGCTTCATACAGTGTGCATAATGCATTGTGATATCGCTCGGTGTTTCGACCGAAATAATCTCACTTCCTCGCGAAATCTCACACACGGCGCATACTCTTACTACTTTTTATATTGCGCTATTTATGGCACATTGGTTCCTTCAAAGAACGGTCGATTCACATTGTTCTCTTCAAGTTTACCGATATCGAATGTCAGAGGTAAGTCAGAGGCGGAGAAGCGGAAATTTCTTCCGAGAATCCGCCTTTCTCCCGAGGCCTCACTTTGTTGTCCTCCGCAAAAAAGAAAAAGAAAAGAAAAAAAAAAAAATAACAACAACGCGAGTCAAAAAGCGCCTCAGCGAGCGGCTTTCATCTTTGCCTTTTATTTCATCTCTTCGATTAATTATCAAGAGCCCCCCCCATTTTTCTCACGGCGATCGGCTTTACTTTCACGAATGCGGAATGTATGGCTAACGCACTTGTTTCTCTTTTAGAAAATTAATTTTTAATATTAATGCGAATGAAAGTTTGATATATCAACGATACACTCGCCAACTTCCGGTGAAAATTGATTCGAATATTCAGAAATGACGCTGGGCTGCAAGAACAATCCTTGTCAATCCAAAACCGTTGTTGCATACAAGAATTCGCGCCCATTCTCTCGTTTCCGTCGCGTCGAGATCAATCCTGCTGATTCGTGATCAGCAGAATTAATTAATTCGATTAAAATCACGTTTGGCCCCCCCCCCCCTCCCCCGCCGGGCAAAATGTCGTGTAAATACCGATCTGCGATGGCAATTCTCATTGATTTTTCTTTCGAATTCGTGGCATTCAAATCGCTCGGATGTCTGGTAATACAATGCGATACCAAGCTTTTATTTCTCGGCTCATTCTCCGCTTATGAATTCCATTGACTAATTATATAGATATCTACGCGAGCGATATAGCCGTTAGCCATTTATTCGCTGGTGATCGAACAGCATCGCTTGTTTTTTTTTTCTTTCTTTTTTTTTTCGTTATGCTGGAGCAGAATGCAATGTACGCGCGCTATTTCCTTTATTCTCTCTAATAATAATAAAAAAAAAGTGCTCTTTCTTGTCGCGAAACTCTGAATCGATTAAACATTCCGAGTAATAATATATATATATAAATTACGTTTGCGTTATCCCTTTCTTCGTCTGTCTTCATGTACTTTTCTCGATTCTATCACTTTGGGATTAACGCTGGTATCCAGGTACCAGATACACGCGAGTCTCAATATCGCTGGGCTGTCTGCATCGGAAGCGTTTGAATGGATCTGCTGCACGGGGCTAGCGGGATTTTCGGGAGTGGGTTGCTTTGATCTACGTAATTAAACGGCGCGATTTCTCCGGCACAATACCGGATGCAGCACGCGCGTATATGTACGTGAGCGTACTAGATTGTTATCTGGTTTGGATATTTCGCGTTTGAGCACACGGCTGTCGATGTTATCGGCAATTTTTCGTTTTTGCATCACTCGCATCAAAGCGCTATCTCGGCGCGTATATCCACCCCATACGCATCACTGTCCGTCAGTTCATCATCCTACCTCCCTCAATCCAACGCGCGGAATTGTATTATTTCGTTTTCACCCGCAACCGTAAATCTCGTCGGTTATCATCGGGGACTTACGAGTTGCTTTACGACGCGAACGACAGGTGAAATTAGCTTAAGAAAAATTTAAGTGCCACCAAATGGCTGCACGTTTGCGCCCAGTCGTCTCGATGTGGCGTGATCGAGATCTCGGAAAGTGCAGGTAGACTGTTAAACGACTATCAGCACGCGATCTGAACATTGTCGTCTCGAGGTATTACTTGGAAACCTCGCGGCAAAGAGCCTTGCGGGGCGCAGATTAGTGAAGCGGGTACGAAAGCATTTGAGCATCGTTAAGTCGTTAATCAGGGGTGGGTGAATGCTGTCGAGGAAGCAGACGGGGGATCACACCCTGATCGTGACTTATGTCCGATTGTCAGAGTAATTAAAAAGAGCCGTTGAACACGCGCGCACACACACACACACACACAAGAGAGTTGAATTACTTACTTTATCAGTCGAATGTAGAAGACGGAAATGTGTGATTGCAATCTCGACATTTTTGAGGACGTGATATATTTTTATTCGCGTCACACATTCCGACTTGGAAAATGAGAGAATCACTCACACTTCTAACTTGTCAACTGTAACGAATGCAGTTCTTCTTTTCAATGTAAATCCGTACGCGGAAAGTTTCCCGGATTCTGAATTGTGGCTTTTGTCTAATGTACCCGAATCACTTTTGTGTTTCAGAAAACC